GAAAAGGAAAAGGAAACAGAAAAGAAAAAAGGAAAGGAAAGGTATGGTGTACACCTGCAAGTCCCAGCACTCGGAGGCAGAGGCAGAAGGATCAGCGTGAGTTCAAGGCCAGCCTGGACTACGTAAAGAGACCCTGACTCAAAAAAAAAAAAAAAAAAGAAAATGCAGGTCCTGTGGGGCAGATCTGGGGCAGGGGCTGAGGGCCTGCGTTCCCATGCAGCTCGCCGAGATGAAGACCAGGGTGTGAGCAGCAACAGCACGAAGGGCGCACGTGGCACTTTCTGGCTTAGGGCGCCGCAGCGGCTGGCATCACGGGAAGGAAAACGCACTGGGTGGGTGCTCCTGGAGGACGCTGCTATCGCCAGGGCATGGACAGACAGGCTCACATACTCTGTTTCCATTAGCTGAGCCTGAGTCCCAGGCATTATTTGTCCCTGAGCGGGGACATGACGTCAGGGTCACAAAGGCCTGAGAAGCTGACTTGGGAGTGAGAATCAACAGGGAAGGGAAGGGGCCTCAGGGCCACGGGTGGGGGCTGAGGAGGAGCTAGGAAGGGCGAGAAGGTGACTAGGGCTGTGGGAGGGACACAGAATGGAATGTTCTGGAAGGCAAAGGAAGAAAGACAGACCCAGATTTGCATTACCCACTGCCTCTCCCCAGCCCCGGGGCCTCACCCCCCTGTGCCTCAGTTTCCTTAACTGTAAAATGGGGACATGATGGTCTCAGCCCTCGAAGGGGTTCAGAAGTGGCACCGGGCAAGCTAGTGGCTCCCTTCTTGTCTGGCCCTTCCCTCCGAGTGCCCCACTGGCCAGCAGGCCGCCCTCCCCTGTGCAGATGAGGAAACCGAGGCCCGGCCAGCGTGGGGCAGAGTCGGGCATCCAGACTTCCAGACTCCTGGCCCAGTGCCTTGTTCCTGCCCACAGGGGTCCAGCAGACCCTGGCTCCAGGCGGGTGCTGGAGACTCCAGCTGCCTGGGGGCCCCTGGGGCCACCTGGAATTCCTGCAGTGGCCTGGAGCCAGGGCAGACGTGCTCCGGGATCCGTGCCTTCCTGCCCTGAAGGAGGAGGAGGTGGAGGACAAGCATCTGCCCGCTGAGGGGTCCAGACCCTGGCTCGCCACCAAGTGTCTCTGGCGTGCGCATGGGCGGCGCCTGGAAACATCTGTCCCCCACAGGACACAGATGGCTCCGGCGTCACAGGTTGGGGGTCTGTTAGCCCAGGTGTGGCAGGGCGTAGGGACCACCTTGGGCCTGAAGGAGGACAGGAGCCTGCAGAGAGGGCCACCAGTGTCCCGTGACCATGGGGGAAGGAGCCAGGGGATGTGTCCCCCTCCACTGCCCTGTGTGTGACCTCCCGGGGAGGGCTGGGCTGAGAGGGTGGACGCGTCCCTCAGGGGAGAGAACAACTAACCGGCCTGTTCCCTGCTGCAAGCCCAGAGGAACCCCAAGCTCCCTGGGGACGGGGGAACCAGTCCAGGGCTGGTGCCTTCTACTAGGGACCAGGAGCCAAGCCTGCCTCGCTGTGTCTCAGTTTCCCCGTGGTCTTCATCCTTGCCTTACCTTCCAGGCTCTCTCGTCCCTCCAGTAAACGCATCTCAAGGCCTGGCTCTGGGCAGGTCCACGGTAGTCAAAGCCCCTATCCTTTACACAATAGGGGCTCCTATTGTGTAAAGAATGGCCTGACCCTGGCTCGGCATGGCGGGGACACCTGGCACACAGCTGGAATTAAGTGACTCCCCTCAGCTCCCGAGCCCTGGGGGTTCCCACCTCTTCCTTTCCCTGTGAGGCCTCGGGTCAGGGTTCCAGAGTCCCTGAGCCTCCTGAGAGGTTTTCCTGCTCCCCGACTAGGTCTGGGTTCTGCCTTGTGTCCACCTGAAGTCGCTCTCTTTCTTTCCCTTTCAGTTTTTTGAGACAGTGTCTCTCTATGGAGTTCAGGCTGTCCTTGAACTCACAGCAATCCTCCTGCCTCAGCCTCCCCAGTGTTGCAGTCACAGGCCTGTGCCACCACACCTGGCATCTGGTGCTTTCTAAAGAAGCCGTCAGGTCTGTTTGTAACCTGGATGGGGATGGGTTGTGCAGGGTGGAGGAAAGAGGGAGGGAGGAGGTTTGGGAAGCACAGTAGATGGGGTTCCTGTTGCTGCCCAGAGCCCCCTGCCAGCCGCCCTCGGCAGCAGCCCCCCACCCAAGGTGTCTGTTACGGTTTGTCTGTGTGTCCCCCCAAAGCCTCATGCGGCCATGGGGCAGGCTTTTAGAGTTGATTGAAGTGTGAGAGCTGCACCTGCCCTGGGGTGAATAGTTCGCATATGTAAGGGAGAGGAAAAGAGTGCTTGAGGCCACTCCTCCCCCATTCCGCCCTGGTGTGTGCTGGTTGCTTTGCTGTGTTCTGCCGCCATGAGCTGTAGCCCTCTGCCATGTGCCACTCTGCCTTATAATCTGCCAAGTATGGACTGAAACCTCCACAAACTGTAAGCGAAATAAACCTTTCCTTCCTTCATTTTGGGGGTCAGGTATTTTGTCCCAGCAACGAGAGAAAAGTAACCGAGACAGTGGCCCTTCCCAGCGCTATATGCCCTGGTGCCACACTCAGCTCAGGAGGCAGCAAAGGAGTGCAGCACGGTGGTGGGTGGCACTGGGGTCTCCACTTGCCCGCTGTCAGGTGGGGCCACTCAAACCTTGGGGAGCCTCTTCTGCGGGATGGGGCTGTAGCAGAGCAGCCTGGGGGTGTCTGGGAGGAGTCAGGGCTGATAAGGTGACTGCCTAGGTCTCGCCAGGCCAGAGAGCAGCCTGGGGCTGGGTTAACTGTCCCTGAGGTGCAGGCCCCGCTGCAGGGCCCGGAAGCCCCACAGCCCCTCTCCTCCCACTCAACCACCTTGGCCTCGCAGCTGCTGGCCAGGGTGAGCTCCCCAACCCGCTAATCCCTGGAGCAACACTTTCCCCAGCTCCCACCCAGTGAGCCACATGACCCTTCCTGGCCCATGCCAGCTGCTGCAGGACAAACCACGACCCGCCAGGTCACCGAGGCAGGAAGGACCCCTCCTCCAGAGGCTTCAACCTTCTCTTCCCTCCCTGAGCCTCAATTTGTCTGTGATCCGGGACAGCTCACAAGAAGAGTGGGTCTCTAAAGCCCAGCTCTGCCGGTACCCAAGGACCCTCCATGGCTCCCACCAGCCCTCAGGATAAAGTCCTGACGTCAAGTCTGCCTCTCCTGCCTTCCTGTCCCCACCACACCCCTGCTGTCCCGCAGAGGTCTGGGCACGTGGGTGTGTGCCCCTGCCTGGCATGCCCCTTCCTTCTCCAGATCCCTCCAAGGGCAGCCTGCGCGCCACCGTCCTGCAGCGGGCTGGGGCTTCCCTCTGTGAGCGCCCTGGGCTCGGCCAGCGTGTGAGCAGGGCCTGCTGCGCACACAGGGAGCATGCGCAGTTCCGGTTGCGGGGGCACGGGGGGTGGGGGTGGGGCGAGCGCCTCCAGGACACCAGGTGCGGGGCTCCGCACTGCAGTGCCCAACCTTGTAAATCTCACGACAGCCAGAGGAGGGGGGCTGGCTGAGCCCCGCTTTACAAGGTGGCTCAGAGCAAGCCGAGTGAACCCAGGGCCCCCTGACCTTAGAGAGACCGCGAGAGTCTGGGAGCTTCTCCTTCCAGGGTGTCTTCTGTCCCTCAAGGACTTTCTACCTTTGAGGGTTGGGGAGGGCAGACACTGGGTCCTCTGCCCTCTCTGGGCCCCCGATTCCTTGCTGTGCCACCCCCATTTGGGGGTGTTCTTCCTTCCCCGTCATGGGCCTAAGTTTCCCTGTCTGCAAAACAAGGTGCCAGCCGGCCAGTGTCCAGCTCATGACGTTGGCTTCCGTGCCTGAGGGGACCTGTGAGCCCCAACGGCTCGTTTTTGTGGACCAGTATCCCTGCTTCGTCAGGCCTCAGCTTTCTCATCTGCAAAATGGGAACACTCAGCCTGTGGGGTGGCGTGTTCCCCCGCAAAAGGGTTTAGCAGTGCCGCGACCTGTTAAGTCCCCTCCACGGACTATCGGGGTAACCCCTTCCATCTGCCGCAGGGCCGGTCTTGGGGGCGCTGGATGGGAGGTGGGGTGGCGGGGAGACAAGCCTGCAGGCTGGGCCCTCTACCCGCCCCCCCGCCAGGGCCCCCCACCCAGCGGCAAAGCGAAGAGCACTTCCTCTCCCCGCCTGGCAGGCAGCCTGGCCCGGCCCCTTCGCTAAGGAAGCGCATTTCCTGCCTCCCTGGGCCGGGCTGGATGAGCCGGGAGAGCTCCCGCTGCCGTGGGTCACCCCAGCCTCCATCTGCGTCCCCGTCCTGAGCCGGGACCGTCGCCCCTGTCGCTGTCCACAGGAGCCGGTGCCCCCTCCTCGCCCCCCGACGACCAGCGCCCCCGGCCAACCGAGTCCCGCGCACGCTTCTCTTGACCCCTCGGCCGCCACCCCAGAAGGCTGGAGCAGGGACGCCGCCGCTCCGGCCGCCTGCTCCCCTCGGATCCCTGCGCGAGCCCACGCCGGCCCCGGCGCCCGCCCGCAGCCCTGCCCCTGGACACCGGATAGGGCCCCGCGCACGGAGTCCCGGGCCACGGCATGGACCACTGCGCGCTCGTCCTCGGCGTCGCCCTGCTGCTGGCTGCCTGCGGCCTCGGCCCCACAGGTGTGTGTTTGGGGACCCCAGTGTTGCCCACCTCCTTCCTGGTCTGAGCTCCCGCCCTGCGGAGCTGTCTGGGGGTAAGGCTCTGGTGGCCGGGAAAGGTGACCAAGTACCCCCAATTTGCTGGAACCAAAGGGTGTCACAGACATGGGACTTTCAGCTTGAAGTCTCAAGCAAAGTGGGACAGACGATTGACCTGAAGCCTGGTCCTTAACCTCTGTCCACCCAGCTCTCACCAGGAAGCCCAGGTCCCAGAATACTGTGCAGCCCTGGAAGAGTTTCCTACCCTCCCGGGGCCTTGAGTTTCCCATCTGAGGAGTGGATGGGAAGGAGGGCTCATGATCCTTGCCAGGCTCTGGGTTCAAACCTCCTCTCCTTGCTACCTTGCCAGTGTGATGTAGAGGGGCCACCTCTGGGCCTCTGAGCAAAGGAGAGCTGCTAACAAAGTCCCCCCAGGATGCAGTGAAGGTCGGTGGTGAGGTCATGCTTACCGAGAGAGCTGCTATTGTTGTTGTTTTGCTACTAGGGGTATTTTAATTTAATTTTATTTTTTGTATTTTGAGACAAGGTCTCACTTTGTAGTTCAGGTTGGACTGGAGCTGACTGTGTAGCCCAGACTGGCCTCAGACTCATAGCGATCCTCCTGCCTCAGCCTCTCTATTGCTGTAATTGTTATTAGCTTTAATTCCCTCACCTTCCCCGGGCTTTCAAGCAGTCTGTGATCCCCACAACCGGGCCAGGACTGTGTCACTACCCGCTCTGTCCTCCCTTTTCTGCCCCGGGAAGGGTGCAGGCCAGCCTGAGGCTCTGCAGGGGTCCTGACCTCTGCTGCCTACCGAGACAGCCGGAGGAGGGGTCTCGGGGAGTTGGGAACTGCACTCACTGTGATCCCCACACTCACTGTGGATCTCCGCTCTGTCCTGGGGACACCAGTCACCCACCTGTGCACCCAGGGTCTTCCTCAAGGGGGGGTCAGCAGAGAGCCCAGCATTTTAAAGCCCTTAATCCTTGGCCTCTAACACTCCTGAGAGACCGAAAACAAGCCTCAGAGGCACTGAGTGGCCTAGCAGGGATTTGGCTCCTGGAACACTGCTCCTAGCCACGTGTGACAGGGCAGCCCCTTCTCCCCCAACCCTGGGACCCTGCAAGATGGTGGCTGCTGTCACCCATTTCACAGATGGGAACACAGAGGCCCTGCCTCCCGAGCTCACATCCAGAGATGGGGTCCCCACCTGGCCTCCAGGACGTACCTCCAGGCCCTCTTCCTCCTCAGGAGTGAAGGAGCCAGGCGGATATGTGGGGTCTGATTTTATAGGATTGTGATAGACTTTAGACACCAAGGATTAGAGACCTTAAAAGACAGTGGTGCTGGACCTGGTGGCAGCCGCCGGTAGTCCAAGCAGTCTGGGAGGCTGAGGCAGAAAGACTACCAAATTCAAGCCCAGCCTGAGCACTTTAGAGACTTAGTGAGAATGTGTCTTAAAACATAAATAAAGGAAGGCTGGGGATTCAGCTCTGTGTAAAGGCTCTGGGTTCAGTTCTCAGTACAGGAAAAAAAGAGAAATAGGCAGCGATGTTTGGTAAATACTTAGCAACAGAGGGGTAGGACTTGATTTGTGGTGATCGTTGTTGCCCGAATGCTCGCTCAGCCTGGACCCTAACCGACCAGCTGTCCACCTGAGGTGTGGACACCCACACGGTAGCACACAGGACCTTTCCCCGCACACCTCACAGGTCCAGGGACCTCGACAGCATGGGTGACAGTAAATAAAGCAATTAGGAAGTAGTGAGTTTTGATCATTATTATGTTTGTAAAAATGCACAATTTATCTCATTGTAAGTTTGAAGAACTGAATTCATAATAGCCGTATTGAGCCCGGCATGACGGCAAGTTCGAGGCCAGCCTGGGCTACCCAACAAGACCGTGTTTCAAAAGCCCCAAAGCAGTCATAGTGATGGCCGTACTGAGCATCCACTTGGGAAAAACCGGAAACGTGTCCGCCTGCTCTTGGGACCGAGTGGGAGCGGGTCCCGGCCCCCCCATGACCACAAATGAGAGGGCATCATGTCGTGGGCAGCCCCTCTGTGGACCCCGGGCACATGGTGGGCAGCCGGGTGTGGGCCTGAGCATGGGACCCAGATCTCCAGCCTCGGTGTGGAAGGACCGAGCCAGGCGCCCTGAACAGGACAGAGGGGTCCAAATGGGTCCAAAAGTGGGTCCAGTCTTCTAGGAGCACCGAGTGGCAGAATTTCCTAAAATTATAACTTATGCATAGCTTTTTTTCTCAGTATTTGTTTATTTATTCATTCATTCAGTACTGGGGATTGAACCCAGGCCCTTCGCACTGATCTACATTGCCAGCCCTTTTTTAATTTTTCAGTTCAGACGGGGTCTTGCTAAATCGCTAAGTTACCTAGTCTGGGCTCAAACTTGAAACCCTCCTGCCTCAGCCTCCCAGACTGCTGGGATTATAGGCATGCACAAGCATACCCAGTGTCCATGACTTTTGCCATCACAACTCAGTCTTAGGCACTGAGCCCTGGAGAGTCACTGGCCTGCTCTGTAGAGTTGTGTGGCCCTAGGTACCTACACAGCACCCGACACCAGGGCACCCTAAATGTCCACCAACCAGAGCCCCAGACCACAGCTCTCAAAACAATGCGACATGGTGTAGGAGCCGAGGGAGAGGCAGAACCGTTTGTTGACCAAATTGACAGGTAGACGTCTGGGGCGAACTTTAGGAGGCCAAATAGCAACTCCATGTCACCACTCACAGAACAGTATCCGCGCATGGTAGACATGGAGAAGATCCTGGAAGGACTTGTGTCCAGGGTGCCAGTTCTTCTGTGTGGGATTTTCCCTGGGGGACTTTCACTTTCCAAAGCACATTCTTCTGTAGTGGAGGAATTTTTGTAAAGAATTAGCTTGTGGAGATTTTTAAAGAGCAACTTAACCATATGTTTGCTTCAGCCTGCTTGAAGAAGTTAGGTAAGAGTGGAGGCCAGGGTGTAGCTCAGTGCTGAGCTCTTGCCTCGAGCAATGAATTCCTGGGATCCATCCCCAGTACCACAAATAAACGCCAATCATGGTGGCGCACGCCTGTAATCCCAGCACTTGGGAGGCTGAGGCAGGAGGATCACTGTGAGTTTGAGACCAGCCTGGGCTACAAGGTGAGCTCAAGGCCAGCCTGAACTGCATAGTGAGAGTCTGTCTCAAAAAGACAAGAACAAACAAACAAAAACCCTCACACAGAAAGAAAGAAAAAAGAAAGAAAGAAGGAAAGAAAGAAAGAAAGAAAGAAAGAAAGAAAGAAAGAAAGAAAGAAAGAACAGTTAAACAAAAAACTGATCTCCAAACTCCTAGCACAGTTAGCCTGCTGGTGGTGGGTTTCTTTCTTGTCTTTGTTGAACTTATTTTTAATCCAGGCAATTCAACATCCAGGGGTCTTTTTTTTTTTTTTTTTTTTTTTTTTTT